ATTCAGACTGATTCTATCTATGTCTATCAGCCTGGAAACTAGACGACCAGATCGAAACTCATCAGTGATATCTTCTCTTCTTTCATAAAAATGCTTTATCTACCTTGCAATTGTTCGATATGATGGAGTGTTAAGTTTCAATGTTGTTGTAAATTAGTCGTGAATTTTTTCTTCGCACTTATTTCCAAACTAGATCGAGTTTTAATATAATAGTATGGATCGAATGCATTATCCTTAGTACTAAATGCAAACTAAAATTATTATGTATAGATTATTAAAGACAATACATTTTACTATTTATTTATGCAACAGTCTCTTAAATCTTAACTGATTTACAGATTTACCATCAACGCTAGCAGAACATTTGGATAGATCGAAGTAGTTTAAGATTATGAAAATTATCGATTTTTATGTATAGATTACTTTTGCGTTTAGTGTTGTAATTAACTAGTGAAACTCAATGTTTTTATTTAAAATAAATGATGTTGGTGTAGAGTTCACGACATCTATTTTAAAATCAATGAATTTTTTCAGAGAACAACAGAGAGGTATTTCTATCATAACAATATTTTCTATGCCATCCTGTTTTACACTATTGTATAAATTATTGATTCAAACTAACATCGTGTATTTTTTCTTTTATTATAAGGACATTCAAAAAAAATTTGATTCATATGGCTGCATCAACTTTAACAGTACTCGAACCAAAATCCTTAATTCGTCCAACACATTGGTCAAAAGAAGTTGAAAATGCTTATCGTTTTCAATTAGCTGGTTATCGTGATGAACTTGAATATAAACGAATTCGACAAGTAGCTGAGGTTATTGTTTATTTTATCATTTATATTTTTTTAAATAATTCTATTATTCTTATTTAATAGATTGATATATGGCCTGATAGTGGTTTTGTCAAAAAATTACAACGTCGAAAAGATGGATGTTTTTATTATTTTGATAAACTTCGTGAATGTCCAGATAAAGAAATAAACAAATGTAAAATATATTCTTATTAAAAATAAAAATAAATCTATCTTAATTCATATGAAACTATAACTATCTATCTATATATATATAAATCTTCTAAGTTCTTTCAAAAATCATCTGTGCGCAAATTTTTTCAATGAAATGTTTATTCTAAGTTTTTCGTTTCTGTTTAAATCCTTTCAAAATATGACACAATGAAAAAAAGAAAACTAACTGATCAATGTTAGATGCATTTTCAATTATATACTTAATCGAACTTGTCAACATCTACTTGAAAGAAAAATGTCTCCTCAAAAATCGTTCGTATTTTAATTATAATTTATGAGAAAGACTAAAGTCACCAAAAATATAATGAATTTAATTTTTAATGTATACTTTTTCAAATTAGTGGGCTTTATTCGTTTATCTAACTAATAGGATATTTTAATATATGGCATCTTTGATAGTAATGTAATGACGTTGTTATATTTAACAAAAATGTATTAAAATAATTTCGATCATTTACTTTTCATTTTTTTTTCCTCTGTTTACACAATTTTTTTTTTAAACTTTTAAATCGGTAAGAGTAAATTTATTGTAAACGTTGTTAACAGCAAGATATATGAGAGCAAAAATGTTTCGCATATTGTACAAGTATGGAAGATTCAAGGTGAATATTTCTGGGGAAGAAAGATTTTTTTAATGGGACCATTGTGTTACTTCTATATAGAAGACCGACCAATAGTAAAATCTTTTTTTTTTTTTTGCTTTTGAATTAAATCTGTCTAAACAATATGTTATTGGGAAGCTTTAGTATTAAATCATCTTATAGCGTATGTTGTGCTTCAAATTGATGTAAAATTTTTTGTTTCAAAAAAAAGAGCTTTTTATTATTTTCCAATTAGTCTTCGTTCGTTGTGTATGCTCACCCTTCTTTATTTTTTTGCAAAATATATAAGTGTAACAATCAATGGGAAAGATAGAGATGTTGTCTCTTAGATTTTCTATTTAAATATTTAATATCAGTAGCTAATTGATTTCGTATCTGATTGTGAAGGAACAGGTAAGTTGTCTTATGTTTTTCAAATATTATAGATTTTAAACTTGTTAAAGAGAAAAAAAAACAAATCATGATGCTGTTTCGGATGCCTAATTTTTTTGTTTTGAAAAGTATTGCATCGTTGAGTTTTGACAGATTTTACGCAAAAAGCTTTAATATGTATTTTTGGAAATATCCTCAGTATTTTGATCCTTTTATTCGAATTGAAAGAAAATTAAGAAATTAGACAACTCAAACAATGTTCAGTGTCTGTAGAAAAAGTTATATCTGTATCGAACTTATTGCAGTTGAGAAAGTACGATGAGTTTTAGCTTTTGCAATCCAAATATTTCCAAGAATGAAGTGTTTTGGAATCTAATGTTCATGATAAATTTTTCTTTTCTCATTGAGAATTGTCTACCTTTTAAATTTTATATATGTCTGATGAGCCGTTCTTCGAAAATCTCGGAATATGTCAGCTTAAATTTGTTTTCTCAAACGTTGCTTTAATGAAAAAAATTACTACAGAACAATTGTTCCAATTGAAACTAAAGATAATAGTTTAATATTCTATGATTTTAAGAAAATAATTCAAGAGAGATGACCAAAAAAAAAGTGATTAATAGTTTTCTCTAAGTCAGAATCATTAGAAAACAAAAAAATCGATAATTCTCGATTGTTTTAAATTAAAAATCATTTTTTAATTCTCTACAAAATGTTACGTTTTTTTTTTATCAATTAAAATAACAAACATTATTTTTCAAAATCGACTTTAAACAAACAATCTAAGATAAACATTTTTTTGTAAAAAAAAACTTTTTATCGAATTTTATGTCATGTTATGTTTTAACTCTTCAATATGATAAACAAATTCATTTTACATTGTGTAATTCAATGAGTTTAAATGTAAATTATGGACCAATGATTCTTGTTGATGAAACGAAAAAAAAAAGTTGTTTTAGAAAAATTTTAGTAAATAATGAATGTTATTAAAAATTCATAAAATACATATTATTTTATAGAGAATTAATAACTTGAGAAGACAAATATTAAAAGAAATATAATTGAATCTCTAGGATATTTGACAATTTTCAATGATGAACCCAACAGATTTTTTTATTTATCCCATTGTGAAACGATTGTTGATTTTTTGAAAAATGTTCAATCAATGTATTTTATAGAGTAGATTCTGATCTATAAACTAATATACATATTAAAGGTCGAATCGTAATAAAATATTTTCCGACTCAACTAATTTGTTTTTTAAAGATTTTTCGATTGATAGCAACAATTAAATTTATTAATAAATCTCGCAATCATATTCTACAAAATACAAATTAAAAACTTTTGTATTCTAGATATAAAACAGTTGTTTCAATATAATTCTTTAGTATGCATATATTTTGTATTACATATAGTAAATTTTATTCAAATATAAGACGATAATAATTCTTTTTGTTTTTTTGTGACATATGGAATAATTGAATTTTATCTTTATTAAATTATATATTCAAATTTATTGAAAACAAACAAACATTGGCGTATTATTAAATTTCTTTCATTCTTAATGTATGTGTCGGTATATATTTTAGTAGATTGTTGATGATGAATAAATTCATGTGTACGACATATTGTTAATAATAATAAATATACAATTCTCTTCTATCCATTTTATTTATTCATTTCTTTTTTTGCTTCCTATATACAATAGATTAATAATTATATATATATTCATATTTCAACTTTAGCTTAGTTCAAAGATAGACGTAAAAATTTTTAAATTCCATTTTACACCTTTTTCTTTACATGCTCTTTCGTTGACTGTTCTTCATATTTTTTGTGAGTACCACCATTGTTTTTTTTTTCTTTATATTTCTGTTTGTTCATTGGTAAAGTTTGTTCGTCGAAAATTTGTAGACTTTGATCAATTACTAGATTTTAAAATTGTTAAATATAAACAAAAAAAAACAATGGCGACAAGTGACATGGATTTCTATGATACATCATTTCGTCGTGTACCAATGAATTCAGCAACAACACATAAAGAAGTTAATGATTATACTTCAACATTAACATCATCAACTTACAATATGTGGCCTGGACAATTAAAAAGAACTATGACAACAACATATATCGACGGAACTACAATGCTTGGTCATAATGATCGTTCATATAATATAAAAGATTTATTTCCAAAAGGAAAAAGTCGACAAAATCCATTAACTGTATCAGAAAAAAAAATGGTAATTTTCTGTTCATAATTTGAAAAAAAAATAATAATATTTTTTTTTTGTTTGTTTTCATTCTATTTCTCAATATAGAGTACACGTGATGCATATATGTCATTATTACCAATAAATGCATCTGTTATTCGATCAATAAAAGTTCGTTCACCTTTATCAATAGCAACTGGAAAACAATATTCAAGTCTACCTGAAGTATCACATAAAAGTGTTAATATTCGAAATAAACGTTTTCCAAGTGCTATTATAATAGATGAAAATAGTGAATCAAAATTATATGCTCGTTGTGCTACAACAAATGTTAGTGGTGTTTGGGCACGACGATATAAATCTATAAATACATCACAAACATTTAGTGATTTATTACGTGATCAAGCATATACAGATAAAATTATACTTAAAAAACGTTCATATCAACAATTACTTACATATTCATCATCATCATCATCATCATCATCATTTAATTGTTCATTAATTAAACGTAAACGAGATCAATCTTAAAAAAAAAAGTCTTCTTTTGGTTTTATTTAAAAGTATTTTGTGTGTGTGTGTTTTTTTTTTAAATATTTTAATAATAAATGAAAATAATGCGGGAGAGAAAATAATCTATGTATATTATTTGTATATTTTTATTTATTTAAATCACGTCGACGATAATAACAGATATAATTGAGTCCAATGGGACTAATTCTCAAATACAAATTAATAATGATGATTCATATATTACAGAAGAAGAAGAATATTATGAATTTGATATGACTGGTCGTATTATAGCTGATAATTATAGAATTGAATCAAAATTAGGTGCTGGATCATTTGGACAAGTTTATTTATGTGAACATATACATACACATGAACAATGGGCAATGAAAATTGAATCACAAATAATGAATAATAATCCTCAATTATCAATTGAAGTAAATGATATTAATTGTTTTTTTTTATTTAAGTTAAAATAATTTTTTATAGCATAAAATCTATACTATACTTCAAGGTGGTAAAGGTTTTCCAAAAATTGATTATTATGGTAATGAAGGAACATATGATATTCTTATTATTGAATTATTAGGTCCATCATTAGAAGATTTATTTAATTATTGTAATAGAAAATTTACATTAAAAACAGCATTAATGCTTGTTGATCAAATGATTACAAGAATTGAATATGTTCATACATGTCATCTTGTTCATCGTGATATTAAACCAGGTTAAGAGGAGTTTGATAGGTGTTTTTCTTTTTTACTTGTTTTGTTGTGATTATAAAAAAAAAATATATATATTTTAGATAATTTTTTAATGGGTGTGAAATCTATGGGTAATACTGTTTATATAATCGACTTTGGTCTTTCAAAACGATATAGAGATCCTAAATCACTTGTACATATACCTTGGAAAAGTAATAAAAGTCTTACAGGTATATAAGTATTTCATAATAAATGATAATAGAAAAAATATAGTACTATATGTTTGGAAATTAAGGTTTGTAGAAATAAAGAATTTCAACTAGAATAACTTCTATAAATGTTAAAGTTTTGAATGAAATTCATTCAAGATATGAGTACATGCTGTAAACAAAATAAGATCTATATCCGTTGAAAGTTTCATATGTCGAAGAAAAACTTCTGAATTTTTTTTATGAAAACTAGTCTAATGGAATTCTGTATATGTACAGATCAAACTTCGAAAATTTGAAGCCTCTAGAAGCAAAAAAAATATATTCGATAGTTTAGCAAAAAATTTCAATATGAACTCAAATCCTTTTAGGATTTTCATTAGAATACTATATAATATCTATATCGTATTATAATTGAAATCTCTTCATTTATTAAACATATCAATTATAAAATATTAGGTACAGCTCGATATGCATCAATAAATGCTCATAAAGGTAGTGAACAATCACGTCGTGATGATTTAGAAGCAATTAGTTATGTATTTATGTATTTTATAATGGGTACATTACCATGGCAAGGTTTACAAGCAACAGCAAGAAAATCAAAATTTGAACGTATTGCTGAAATGAAAATGAAAATGACATCTGAACAAATATGTAAAAATTATCCAAAAGAATGTATTTTATTTCTTAATTATTGTCGTACACTTATATTTGATCATCGACCTGATTATAATTATTTAAGATATTTATTTCGTTATTTACTCTATCAAAAAGGTGATCAATATGATTATGAATATGATTGGATTATTCTACATAGAAATAAACGATTATCAACATTGCATATAATAAATCCTATTGATGGTGAAAATTCTCTTCTTTCTGAACAGTAATAAATATCTATTATATAAGAATTTTTATATTTATTATATTCTATAAAACTATTAAAACATTATAAAATAAAATTTGTATATATATTAAATCTTAATGAAAAAAATAAATTGTCTAATTGAATTTTGTTCGCATCATGATTCCTTGAAACATTACACATTTATTTGACATAAATGATCGAGAAGCTGTTTCTCTTAAACATGATTTTGTCTAATTTTCTTTTTTTCTTCCATTGCTAATCGTGTTCTTTTGTGTCCGTAACTATTGCACGTGAGTAGACACGTGCACAATCAAGACTACTGACGAAAGATTGTAACAATCAGAACTAGGAACATACTAGATTAATTATGGCTATAATCTGGACTGCTCAATAAGAAGCTACAGGAACTGAATCAGTACTAAAATATTTTAGCTCCATTATGAATTGATCTAATTTGAATAGATTTTGAATTATTTTAAATCGTATTAAAATAAACATAGATGAAAATTTTAATTTTTGATTTAAGATAATGAAAATGAAGATGTTTTTACAAAATGTTTGTAAAAATAATATTGTACATTTTTGATAAGAACTAATCTTTGTAAAATTTTCTGATATATATTCATCTGATCTGAATATTTGATATAGTCACTTACAAGATAAAACTAAAATCTCAGAAATGATATCTCGTCCAATAATCATAATCTTTAAAAATGCACTTTTAAGTAGTCACAATAAATATCCGAAAAGGACAAAAGTTCTATGACTCGTTTGGCCTATTGAATGAAACAGAACATTCTAAAATAAATTTCCTTTTGGTTTTTATCATGAATGATTATTCTTTTTATTGATAAATACCAGAAGTATATGTTAATTTCTATAACAATCAAAAAAAAGTGCTTTTGTCCTTAAATGACTAATAATTGATGAAAAATCTGTATGATTTCAACATACATTGTTTAATCTATTGCCTACACAATATTAATTATTTATAACAATTTACCGTAAAAAAAAAAAAACATTTATTTCTAAATATTCTTTTACCCTCTTTTAGAACATGATATAAAATAGATCCAAATGTGACAAATACATACATTCCGTCGCAAAATTTTCTATCATAATGTTATTTTTGGTGCTGGTCACCGTTGTTATCATGCTGGCCATGAATATTATGCGTCTAAAAGTAAGTATCATCATCATCAATGTTACTAATTAATTCTTAACTAATAATATTCAAATATAAAAATTAATTATTACTTTTGTATTATTTTAGTGTTATAAAAATAAAACAAGCAAGTCATTAACAACAGTTCCCAACGGTCCACGTCCATGGCCAATCGTAGGTAATCTTCTTCAATTAGGTTATCGCCCATATGAAACAATTTACAATTGGTCAAAAATGCCAAAATATGGACCGATATTTCGTCTTCAGCTTGGTTCACAATCAGTTATTGTATTAAATTCAACATCAATCATTCGTGAAGCATTACATGATCATAGTGAAGCATTTGCTGGTCGACCATATCTTCATATGATACATGAAACTTTACATGGTAAAGGTGTTATATCAGCTCCATATGGACGAGAATTCAATGAACATAAAAATTTCTTAATTAAAAGTTTTAATCGATTTGGTCGTCGACGACGATCATCATTAGAAAACGGATGTCTTGATGAAGTACGTTTAGTTGCTGAAAAACTTCGAGAAAAACAATCCACACCATTTCGCATTGGTAATATGTTAAGTCAAATAGCATGTAATAATATATGTACTCTTACATTTGGGCGGTATTTTGAAACAATGAATATGTCTAATTTATTTGAAAAAATTAATGAAAATTTTAATCAAACAGCAACAATAGCATGCTTTAATTTTTTACCATTTACTAGACGATTTAAAAAAAATATATTTGAAAATGTTAATGATTGTAATCGTGTTATACAAAAATTAGTTGATGAACGTGAAACAAATTTTGATTCAGAATCTGTTAATAGTATTGTTGATGCTTATTTAGATGAAATGAATAGACATCGACATTTTTCAAAAGAAAATCTTGATTCATTAGTTCAAGATCTTTTTGTTGCTGGTACTGAAACTGTATCAAATACATTAAATTGGACAATATTTTATATTGTATCACATTCATATGTTCAAGAAAAAATTCATGAAGAAATTGATCGTATTATTGGTAAAGATCGACCACCATGTGATAAAGATCGTATTCAAATGCCCTATATTGAAGCTGTTTTACTTGAATCAATGCGTTGTCATTGTGCTGGACCAATATTATTACCACGAGCAACGACGCATGATATTACATTTCAAAATTATTTTATTCCAAAAGACACATTTATACTTGTTAATATGTGGTCAGCTATGAAAGATGAAAAACAATGGTTAGAACCAGATAAATTTCAACCCGAAAGATTTTTAGATGAAAATAATAAATTAAAAGATGTTAATCATCCAGCTATGATGCCATTTAGTGTTGGTAAACGTGCTTGTACAGGTAAATTTTTCTTTTTATTTCTCTTATTTATAAACATAAATCTTTTTTTTAATAGGCGAACAAATTGCAAAAATTCAATTATTTTTAGTACTCGTCAGTTTATTTCAAAAATTTGAATTTCATTTTGTTGATGGTTGGATTCCAAAAGATCTTCGTGGTCAACCTGGTATTACACTTCGACCACCAAATTGTCAATATCAAGCAATTGTTCGATAAAGAATAAATATTTACAAAAAATAAAAAATAAAAAAATATCTTTTTCCATGTTTATTTTAATCAAGTGCCTTTTGTTATTCCTTTATACACTGCATGAAACTAATTTTGATTGATTAAATAAAATTTTATTCTCGCATAAACTATTTATTTCTTTTTTTTCTGGTTATTATCAACAATCTATTGAATGTTTTCTTCATATTCTATTTTATATGACGGATAGAGAAAAAAAGAAAAAAAACAGACAAATATACCAAATTAGTCTATAGAAAAGAAAAATGAAGACAATAACAGGTAGTACAAACAAATATGGATATATTGTATTTTTGGATAGATTACAAGTCTAATACAGTATGTTTATCGTTCTTTAAAATCTGGATCAAGAGAGAGAGAGAGAGAGAAAAAAAAAGAACACGTCACTACTTAAATTTTTCTTATAAAAAACCAAACAAACAAACAAAATGATAAAGTCATAATGATTATTTCTTAATATTTAAGCTTTGAATGAACCAACAAAATTTTGAACAATTTCTTTAAGTTTAGTATCTGTTTCAGGAGTTATTTCATTCTTTGAACGAACTGATTCAAGTATATCTTTATGTTGTCCACGTAAATGTTGTAAGAAAGCTTGTTCAAATTTAGTTATTTTTGATGGATCAAGTTTATCTAAATGACCACGAACACCAGCATAAATTACACATACTTGTTCTTCAATAGCCATTGGTACTAGATAAAATAAACTAAAAATTTTTGAGACAAAACAAAAAAAAGAGCGATTTCTAACTAACCATATTGACCTTGTTTAAGTAATTCAGTAAGTCGTACACCACGATTAAGTAATGATTGAGTAGCTGCATCAAGATCTGAACCAAATTGTGCAAAAGCAGCAACTTCACGATATTGTGCTAATTCAAGTTTCATTTTGCCTGATACCTATTTATTTATGAAAAAAATCTTTTCAACAAAAACAAAAAAAAATATATGTTTTTTTACTTGTTTCATAGCTTTGGTTTGAGCAGCACTACCGACACGTGATACTGATAAACCTACATTAATAGCTGGTCGAATACCTTTATAAAATAATTCAGTTTCTAAAAAGATTTGACCATCTGTAATTGAAATGACATTTGTTGGGATATAAGCAGATACATCACCTAAATAAATATATATATATATTTTTTAAATTTAATTATATGTATATTAAATTTACCAGCTTGTGTTTCAATAATAGGTAAAGCTGTCAATGAACCACCACCATGACTATCATTCATTTTAGCAGCACGTTCAAGTAAACGACTATGAAGATAAAAGACATCACCTGGATAAGCTTCACGACCAGGTGGACGACGTAATAATAAAGACATTTGACGATAAGCAACAGCCTAAAACAATTTTTTTTTTCTTTTGTGCATAGAAATCAATATTCATTCATTTTTTTACTTGTTTGGAAAGATCATCATAAATAATTAATGCATGTCGACCTGTATCACGAAAATGTTCACCCATAGCACAACCTGAATATGGTGCTAAATATTGTAATGGAGCTGCATCAGAAGCAGTAGCAGCAACAATAACTGAATATTTCATAGCATCTATATAAAAGAAATATTTTCGATGAGTTAGAACTAGAATTTCGTGCTCTATTTCAAATATAGATTTAGAAAGAAACAAGGGTTGTTGAATGATAAAATCGATCTTTTCTCAAAATTGAGTTTGCGATTTTCTTCAGAGTTACATTGAAAATTAAAGTCAGTCATATGCATGAATATTGCGCGTTTGACTAGTGTTTCAGCCAAACATTACATACTCCGATATACTATTCAATAGACGGTAGTGGCGTAACCAGGATTTTCCAGTATCCTGGATCTCCATCAGAGAGCATGGGTCTCAAATGAAAACTTATGTACATTGATATTGGACTTAAATAATGAATTTCTATCGGAAAAAAAATTCAATCAGGGTTTGCAAAAAAAATTAGCATTTTCCTGAGTGTCCTACCAGAAAATGTTTCACAACTTTAATGATATATCGTTTTCAAGAATGCTATCGAAAGCTACATCAAATTTCATCGATAGATTTCAAATTTCATTTAAAAAAGTTAATCCGTTCAGAAGTTATGGCGTTTGTAAGATGCAAGACGTTTCGAAAAAATTTCACCAGAAATTGAAAACCCCACAACTTCTCAACGGATGAATTTTTTTAAATGAAATTTGATGTAGCTTTCGATGGTATTCTTGAAAATGACATATCATTAAAGATGTGAAACATTTTCTGGTAGGGCTCAGGAAAATGCTAATTT